TCTTGCCAGAGGGAGGTGAAGTGGTGTGTGGGGAGTTTTCTGAGATATTTCGATTTTTGCTTAATCATGATGTTGTCATTGACATGTCTGAAGTAGCCTGGTCCCGGTATCTCATGTTTCAAATGTCATCCTTCTAGATTTTATTTTAGATGTTATAGTAGAATTTTCTAAACATACTTGTTATGGGACGCTGGGCCCGGTTGCCGGTTTGTGCCAGTTTCTTAGGATATGGTTGTATCTATGGGACGCTGGACCCGGTTTCCAGTAGGTGTTGCTCCCCACCAATAGATGGAGCTTTTTTTTTTTTTTAAAAAAAAAAAAAAAAAAAAAAAAAAAAAAAAAAAAACCATAATGGGGAATTTCTGTTACAAATTTTTTCCTTGTCATCCACTAATATAGTCGTTCCTAAGGGGCAAGGGGAAACCGGTTGGGTTCAGACTCAACATATCTTAAGAATAAGAGTAATCAGAACTAAAGACTCTTGGGTGACCTTTAAACCAGACTGTCCTATATCGGAACTTCCTCTCGGCCCGGCTAATTGGGTTTGGAGCTCGGTCACAAGAATAGGAAGGCATAACAAATCTTTCAAAAGGACTATTCACTCACTCAAAGTCAAATCAGCCTATCGAATGCTTCGCCCTAGAATTAACTTAAAAGACAAGGTTTTCATTGGATGGAGAGAACATCTTGATGTTAGACAGAAAAAATTGAGGTATGTCAGGTGGTTTAAAATAGTCAAGGAGAAACCAACCAAAATTGCTTCACTCCAACGGCAAATTGAACATAAGTGTCTACTAGTCAATGACCGGCTGATTGACAGATCATCGTTGGAACAAAAAGGACTAGCAGAAAGGTGGTGTACGTTATGCAAATCAGCTTTCCCATGTCGAATTTATCCTGAAACTATAGAGCACATCTTTATGCAATACCCGGGCTCAGTATGGCTTTGGAGGTGGTGGGATCGAATCTGGTCACGTTTAGTCCCACAGGTTCTTTAGCCATGAAAATGGAAAGCTATTCTTCTTGAGACCTGGAGCCTGGACCCAGAATTAGTGGGAAATGATGGGGAATTTGTGGAAAATCTATTTAGCATGGTGAGAAGAGCGGTGTTGTGGGCTATATGGATGAAGAGATGCACGTATGAATGAGAAGGGGCTAGACTAGATGGACCTGAATTCACAGACAATATTAAACAACAAATTCAAACAGATATATTAAGCAAATGGGATCGAACAAAGGACAGAGTTCAATTCCTCTCAGACAAAACAGAAATTCAAAGTCATTTTCGTAAATTCAGTCGTAATTGGCTGGGCGGAAACCTGGGTGGGAGAATTGGTTGTGTTGTTTGGAATGGGGCTGGGAATGAGGATGATGCTGGATTGAAAAGATACAACAAATTGATTTTCGATGACTGGACTACTATAGACGTGTTAATTCCCATGCATCCGTTATCAGATTTCCCGGATTCTTTTTCTCCCCCAGCAACAGCCCTTGTTCCCAGCTCATGGTATGGATTATAGAATTAACACTACTAGTTTCAACAGGTATATCTGGCGTCCTGGAATGGATGAAGAGGTAGTGTCGTTTTTTCAATTTCTGTTGGCAAGTAGTGAGTGACAGTCTTCTTCAATTCAAGAGCCCTTTTTCTTATTTATTCTTATTCTCATAATGTATTCAAGTTGTACAATCAAGGGATGCTGGACCCGGTTTCCAACATGTGATGCTCTCCACCAATAGATGGAGCTTTAAAAAAAAAAAAAAAAAAAAAAAAAAAAGTCATCTACTTTGAATTGAGACGAGCGACGATGCTTGTTTGCCTGTTCTATCATTTTGTGTTGGGCCTTCATGAGGTTTTCAACAACTGTAGCTAGCTCTCTTTCGTGTTGTATTGCAAACTTCCTGGTTCCAGGCGGTAGCTTGTGAATCTGATCCCGGTTCAGTCCTTCGAATGGTCTGCGCGGCCTAAAGGACTTATACAGCCCATTAGGAGTGCGACAAGTGGACAGATGCACGTTGTTATTGTACGCACTAGCGACCTTAGGTAACATCTCATCCCAGTTGATCTGATCCGGTCTAATATACATGCGCAGAACTTGCTGTAGGATCTTGTTCATCTGTTCTGTCTGACCGTTAGTCTCTGGGTGACGGCCAGATGACATTAACAACTTAGATCCGTAAACTCTCATGAGTTCTTGCCAGTTCTGACTGGTGAAGCGACTATCTCTATCACTAACAATTGACAATGGGATTCCATTCTCACTAACCCAAAAATCGAAAAACTTTCGTATAACTAAATCTGTACGTGCCTCTGCAGGCAAGGGAACAAAAACAACATACTTGCTAAATCGGTCAACTATGACCATGACTTGGCTCTTACCATGCCTACTCTTGACCTAAGTATCCATGAAGTCTATGGACACCGAGTCTTCAGGCTGATCCGGAATAGGCAAAGGTCTGAGAAGATCTAGAGGTGCCCTCGTAGTAGTCTTGTTCCGCTGGCATACTTTACAACTGCGAACATACTCTATGCAGTCATTCTTCATTCCTGGCCAGGTGTACGCACACATCAGATCGGCTAATCTCTTTTTCCAAACAAAGTGTCCCTTTGTGTCATGGCATTCCCCTAGGATCAGACTACGGATCTCTTCGTTGTTGGGGATGCAGAGGCGGTCTACTACATTAGTCTTCTAAAACAATAGGCCTTCAATAGTGCAGTAGTGTGGTTCAGTCTTTGGGGCCTCCTTAACTCTCTTGAGGAGGTCACTGTAGATAGGATCTTGCGCATACGCGTCTCAGACTTTCTCTTGCAGGTCCTTTCCTATGTCCAGATAATGCACTATAGCTCCAAAGTAGTCTGATCTCCTACTTAGAGCATCCGCAACTACATTGTACTTGCCTTTGACCGGTTTGAGCTCAAAGTCATACTGGTCTATCTCAGCGGCCCACCTAGTGCGATTCATGGTCTGAGTATACTTTGAAGTGCCTCCCAAGCAGGTAATGCTTCCAGTGCTCTAAGGCCTGCCTGAGAGCATAGAATTCTCTCTCGTACGTCGAGGTAGCTACCTTCTCGGAGGGCATCCTCGCTGACATGAACTCTACGGGTCTATAACCATTGTCGTTGTCTTGCTGCAACACGACGCCTATACCATACTGACTCGCGTCCGTGGTGACGACAAATGGCAAGGACGGATCAGTTACTTTGAGGACATGATTCTTTATTAACGCGCACTTTAATCTCTTTAGCGCAAAAGTACATTTTTTATCCCATTGCCAGATTGCCTCTTTCTTTAGCAACCTGCGCAAGGGAGGGGCAATGGTAGAGAAGTTCCTCACGAACTTTCTATAGTAGTTAGCTAGGCCTAGAAACGACCGCAACTCTGTCAATGTGCGGGGCGTCGACCAATCTCTAATCGCTGCTATCTTATTGTCCTCTGGCTTAATGCCATCGCCGTCTAATACGTGGCTCAAGTACAGGACTTGTGTCTTGGCCCACTCGCACTTCTTCGGGTTGACTTTGAAGCTAGCCTCTCTTAGCTTCTCCAAGACCTGCCTTAAATGACCCCGATGCTCTTGGAGGGTCTTGATGAACACTAATATGTCATCTAAATAGACTACTACAAACTTATCTAACCAAGGTCTAAACAAATCATTCATACAACACTGAAATGTAGCTGGCGCGTTGGTCAGTCCAAAGGACATCACTATAAACTCATAATGCCCATATCTTGTCCGGCACACAGTCTTGTACTGGTCATCAGGATGGACCTCTATGTGATGATATCCGGACTTCAGGTCTATCTTAGAGAAATACTTGCAACCCTGCACCCCGATCTAAGAGATCGTCTATCCTGGGCAGTGGTTCAACATTCTTCAAAGTAATCGCATTCAAAACACTATAGTCTATACACATACGAAACTCTCCTTCCTTCTTGGGGACAAACAGAACAGGTGCTCCAAAAGGAGACGAACTGGACCTGATCCAACCCTTCTCAAGGAGTTCGTCTAACTGCTTGCGTAGCTCCTCTAACTCTCTAGGGTACATCATGTAGACTGCTCCCTTAGGAGTTCTACTGCCAGGCTCTATCTTTATCTTGTGTTGGATGGGTCACGACACTACTCCTATCAGTGACTCAGTCAAGTCTTTAAACTCCTCCAACAACTTCGCAATGGTTGGATCTATGGAACTTACCTCTTCCTTAGCCTCAATGAAAGGTCTGACATAAACTACAAAGACCTGGTCCTCTAATTGCTCCTTTTTTACTAGTCGCGCGAACGCGGGAGCACTGAGACAGCAATGTGCTAAGGTGTTATCTACACCTGACACATGAAACAGGCGGGCAGTCTTAACCTCGCCTGACGGACTAGGGAGCCTCATGCTCTCTCAAGTGGAGTGTGGCTCCTGATGCCTCTCCCCAATCCATTCCTAACACAATGTCGAAAGGAAGGTCATCTTGAACGAGGAGAGTCAGGGAATGGAGAACTTTCTCCACTTTCCCATCTTTCTCTAGGCGAAAGTACGCCTGGACTCCCTCTACATAATCCTCAACTCGCATCGTGCGGTTGTCTGCGAGGACACTGACGATGGGGTCTTCCAATTTCTTGACCTTCAATCATAGCCTCAACTTCTTCAACGCCCTACGGCTAATATAGCTACGGGTAGCCCCTGAGTCTATAAGGGCCCCTACTCTGCTTCTAAACACTTCTACATCTACCAAGATCAGTTGTCCCTTACTCTCCTTCTTCATTTTGGCCCAGGCTGGCATCCTCTCCTTCAACTCTTCTGCCACACCTGTGAGGGACGTGCCTAGAGAGACGTCAACACAAGCAGTCTCTGGATAGCTAGCTAGGCACGGGCCTGGAACCTCTGCCATAGGCTCATGTGGTTTGGGAGTTTCCTGTGTGGGTGCGCTCGCTTCCCCACATGGCCTTGAAGTAGGGGCAGTTGTGACCCCTACTGGCGGCTGCCTTTTGACTGTTGAGCAGCCCAACGGGTCTGTCTATACTTGGACAAAATTTTATTACATGGGCCGGGTCACCACAAAATACGCACTGACCTCGGTCCACGCGTTCCTGCCATAGACGCTGGTCCAAGCCCAAATCCTCACAGGGCCTGCGCTGAGGCAAGCCTGGGTGCCATCCTCCTTGAGGTGGCCTTCCACCTCGTCGCTGTCGGGACCGACAAGAACCCTGGCGATTTGGCGGGGGACCTTGACCCCTACCTCCCACTTGGCGGTTCCCTTGTCCGCCAACCCCCTGTGTGCCCGATCCTCGGCCTCCCAGGGCCTGGCCCCTTTGGCCCTAGCCTCCTCCTCTACCTTGCGGCCTCCCTCCAACCGCGACAGCAACATAGGACCTCCCTTATCCCACGCTACTGTCCTCCTCCTCAAGGCCCCATTCGATCTGACTGTATGGGACCTCATTTGTACCACCTTCCTCTAAGGTAAGGATCATATGATCCTTGACCCCCACTTGGCCTGAGATGGTACGGCCTTTCCACTTCTTCCCCTTGTCCAGGTCCTTATTCCAGAAAGTGGAAACTGGCATGGACTTTGACTCGAACAGGACGACTTGCCTACTCAACACATCATACGTGATGCCGGCCTGCTGAGACTTGTCAAAGAAGTGCGCACGCAGGGGCTCTGGCATGGCACGATAAAACAACTGGACCAATTGGGTCTCAATGACCCCATGGTCTGGGATGGCTACTAAGTCGTCCATGACGCCCTTGAGTGCTCTTGCACTCCTCCACTGTCGCGAGTGGATCGTCTGCAACTTGTCAGAGGCCCTAACACCTCTCGTTGGATCAGCAAATCGCTCCTTCGGGAGCTTGAAGAATTGAGGAAGGGGGGTGATTTTAGAGTATGCAACGAGGTTGTTTTCACAACCGGCTGCACACGCAAGGGACCTGACAAAACTAGTCGCCTCATCGTTAAGGGCCTGGAAGGCCACGAGGACTTGCTCCTCAGTCAGGATGTGCTGTAGATACACGTAGCTATTCACACTAGCCTCCCAGTTATCAAAATTTTCTTCCTTCTTCCCTCCATACGCATCTGGGAACTTAAGTTTGACTGGGTCCTTGCGAGGTCTCGCCTCGCTCTCTACAGCGGCAACTGCTTTGGCGCTCTCAATAGCGCCCTCACAAAACTTCCCCACATTGTATCTCAATTGTCTGACTTCGCCTCCAACATGGGCGACCATCTCACGTGCAAACTCTCTAAAACCTGACCGCATGGCACTCAAGGCTACTTCTTGGCTCCTGTTGGCCTGGCGTTCCTCCATCCAGGCCGTGCTCAACACCTCTAAATATCCCAACACCTTATCCATCTTGGTAGACATGTCTGTCTGCGCTTCCATTTCTTGTCTGCAATCCCTCATTTTTGCCACTTTTGCGATCAATCTGTTAACCTCCTCCCTCCTTCTCTTCTTTTCTCTCTTCATCCTTAACTTCCATTCTAACTTTTACTCCTCCTCCCTTTCTTGCCTCTCCAGGGGGTCCTCAATTGTTGCCAGCTCACTGGCCAGTGCATCCCTCTCATCTTGTGGCACATAGAATTGTGCCTCCTCATCTTCCCCCAGTGATAAGTTAGCGATCCACTCGCCGATCTTCTTCTCCATCTCTGCGTCTTCGTCCTTCTGCGTGCCACTACTCTCCTCTCTACTTTCAATACGTTTTCTCTCTTTTTCTTCTTCTTTTGCTGCTTCCTCTTCGATAACCTTTCTCCTCTCTTCCTCCTCCTGCTGAACTCTCTTCATCTCCTCCTCCAGTTTCTTCATCTTCGCCGCCTGCTCCTCTGCGATAGCCTTTAGCTTCGCCTGTTTCTGGAGCTCTTTCCTCTCTTTGTTTTCTCTCACTTAGGCGGTCATCTTCTTCTGTTGCTCCTCGGTGTAAGGGCTAGTGCTCGTCCCACTACGGCTCTCAACCATGGTGACAAGTGCACAACCGGATTAACGGTTCCAACCCTTACCACGTAGACTCTAAACCCCTGACTGACAAACCTACTGACTCAATCTAAGGACTCACAGAATCCTGACAGGGATTCTGCCACCTAGGGTCTCTAGCCTAGACCTACACTATGGTTGTCACTACTAGACCTGTTGCTGATCAGGAGGCATTTAAGGAGATCCCCTGTAACTCCTCAGGAATTATTAAATGTCGCAGACAGGACGACGCGATCAGCAGGTCTCTCAACACTTAGACGGCCTGTTGTGCAGCCCACAACTCGGATTTTGGGCCTACCGTGCCACACCGAGCAGCCCGCCGGTCCGTACCGGTCCTTGGGAGGGTTAGGCCTCCGGGACAATCGAGTCGTCAGACACAGTCTTTAGCCCTACTCAGCCCGTGTGGGTTTGGTCAACAAGGCCCTATCCTTCATCCACAGAGTACTATCACCTAGACAGAAGAGACTCAATGCAGAAAGAAGAGACAGACAGACTGGACTCAGCAAGTACCACAGGGTGTGTGCACATCCATAGGGCGAGGGATAGGCTGAAGGCTTGGCGAGATTTTATCGGCTCTAGCTTGGTCAAAGTCTTGGTCAACGCCTTGGTCAACGCTGGTCAACGCTGCGATCAACTCCCGGTCAACCCCCGGTCAACGCCGGTCAACGCCGGTCAACACCTCCGGTCAACTCTCCCGGTCAACCCTTCGGTCAGCTATGGCTGCCGGCTTCTCTTTCCCTCACCAACTCTCCCTCTGTCCAGTCTCTCTCCCTCCTTCGTTAGTTCCGTGGTCAGACTCCGCGGCTATAGCCACAATCTTCTTCTTCGTGGGACTGCGCAACAACTTCACAGGTACGTAACAGCCAAACTTGTATCCCTCATCTCTCTCTCTCTCTCTCTCTCTCTCTCTCTCTCTTTCTTTCTCTCTCTCTCTCTCTTTCTCTCTCTCTCTCTCTCTCTCTCTCTCTCTCGGTCTTCTTCTTCGTTGTGGTCTTCTCTGCAGTTGCGCGACGACTTCTCCAACCTTCGGGTCCGCTATGGCGGACTATGACTCTCGGCGGCCACCTCAGCTATGGCGCATCAGGCCCTGCACACGACGGCGCGCATGGAATAGTGGGTACCAGCTCTGATACCAATGCAATCAGACTCGCTTTCATTCACACTTTTCATGCATGTAAACAGTAGCGCAGCAAACTGGCGACACGCGGCCACTCAAAACTCAGAGATATGGCATCCAGATACGAGTTCACTTTCCATTGGCTATGGCGACTCAGCGCCCAAACAACTCACTGTTTACATACACCGGGTCACCCTGGATATCCTACATGTGACTCTCTGAACTCCCCCCCCCCCACACACACTACACATTAACTCTAGCTATGGCGGATATGGCCGCAACTACCCTATCACTATGCTACGCTCCTTCTCTCTTGCCCACTTCAGCTCCGGGCTCACTGCAGACCTCCTTGCACAGGTCACTGTGGCAGCGCTTCCGCATGGCTCACATAGGAATGAATAAATGGTTGGGGGTTGCCTCTTGATTTATACTTCTGAAACTCGTTGGTATGCCATTTGCCATTGGCCAATAGTGTTCACAGTCCCTCGTGGTACTTGCTGGACCGGACTGGGACTGACTGGACTTGACCGCTGACTGAACGGGGACTCACTGCTATCCCACCGGGGTCGTATTGCAATCGCATTGCGGTTTAGTCCACCACTTGACTCACCACTTGCCCACTTGCCGATCTTCGAGAAGGCTACAGCTAAGACTTCTGGAACTCACTAAGACTTCTATTCGACAGACCTACAGATCGAACCTTGGCTTCCTATGGACCCTACGACAGCCTACCAACTGTTACTAATACACAGGTCGTGGGTTCAACTCTACGGATTGACATAGGTACTGTACAAAGGTAAGGTGGGGACTAGGGATCGAGCCCTGGGATCTTTGTCTGCTACTACAAAAGGTGAAAAACCGTTTCATTTGATCTAAATCATTAGGATGAATCTTCATTCCCTTTTCTCCTAACGCTATGATCGGAATTAATTCCGGCGTTTCTGTTCAAAAGTTACGTAAAATTCTTTATTATATCAAATTATTTCCGTAAATTAGTTTAAAATCTGATTTTAATTCAAAAATTCGTAAACTAAATTTCGGAATTTACTAAATTTAATCGTTCTGACGTCCACTCTACTTCTACTTTCTATCCCTCGTAAAATTTTGAGATTCTGCAACTTTTTTTTAAATTCCTTTGGAATGCTTTTGGAAATTATTTGAAATTCTTCTTAGTTTTACAACATGTCGGTACAATTTATTAATTTCATCGTACATTCTTCAATTAGGAATTACTTATGCGATTTCATCGTACATTCTTCAATTAGGAATTAGTTTTTTACTTTTATTTCAAATCACTTTTGAAATTTTTTGAATTCCAAAAATACGTCAATAAATTTTTCATTTTAATTAAAAATTATCCTCTGCACTCATCTCTACCTCTTCTATTATCTCCCGGAACTTTCGGAAATTTTTTCGAATATTTTTACAATTCATTGAATTTTGCTTAATTTTTCTCTAAATTATGAATTTACGTCCAAATAATTTTGGAATTTTATTTTGACTTCGCGATTGTCTTATGTATGCTTTACTCTATACCCCACAATATTCTTTGAAAGTTTCTTCTCATTTCCATGCTCCAATTGAAAATTTTCCCCTTCCTCCCACAATTCTATTCTGAATTGTCTTGATTTAATTCCGGAAGTTCGCTAGAGCTCATTTCTACACGCCTTCCTTTCTTGACCCCCTTTTTGCATGCCAATCTGGCTCCCCGTGACAACCAGCAGCACGTACTCCAAAATGGCGCCCGAGACGTCCGTGCCGCATACCAACTCGCTCGCTTTGATGTTTCGATCGCTGCCATTAAGCGTTCCCCCCATCCCAATTCCCCCTCTTCATCGTCTTCATCCCCTGACTCTGTGTATGTCCATCTCCTCTCTCTCTCTGACTCTCTCTCACCATCTCCGTATGTGCCATCTTCCCTCTACACGTTCGTCACACAGACTGCACATCTTCATTGACCTCTCCTTCTTGTGAACTGCCTTTCTCTCTCCCTTTCTCTCTCTCTCTCTCTCCCTCTTTCACACATCCATAACTACGTGATGTTTAGGACACAATGTGTATATTACTGTGGAAAAGGTCACATGGTTGTGGACTGCACATTTTCATTGACCTCTCCCTTTTTGTGGACTGCATCTCTCTCTCTCTCTCTCTCTCGCGCGCGCGCGCGCGCGAATGCATAAGACGTTTAGGACACCATGTGACACTGTACATTGCTGTGCAAAAGGTCACATGGTTGTAGACTGCACATTTTCATTCACCTGCAAGAATAAAGACCAGTTCAAGCTGATTTGCAAGCACGAAGGAGTTACGTACACAACGAAGGGGCCAACGATCGACAGAATTATCGAAGCACGAGCCAAATTGGCGTACGAAGGCTTTGTGTTCACCCCGGTAACTTCGGCACATAACTCACCTGAAGATGGTAAGACTCCTCGTACATGACTGAGCCATTTTGCACGCTTTAAGCTGTGGTCCAACCTTCTCGAATGTATGAGGCTTTGCAGCGTAGCTTGGGAAATCGGATCCTCTATTCGACTCAAAAGGTTGTATAACACTTGTGTGACTTTATGCTTCGTCGCGTTAGCATTACTGGGTGAAATTTTGTGGATGTGCAAATTCCGGTCGGTTCTTTTATTAGTAGATTGGGAGAATCAGAATTTAGGACTTGTCGTTTATCTGGTGTCGTCGTCATGGTGCAAAGCATAGTACATAGGTTGCACTATCCGTAGTATATTCGTAAGATGGGGGGAACACCTACGGACGGCCAGATTGAATGGGTTGGAAATTTGTCCCAAGTTGTATCGATGGTTACGAACGTTTGGACCATGGAACTATGCCGTTGTCTCCTTGGTGAATCGTGTTGGCTTGGTAGAAGCGGCGGAATGGGTCCTTATTAAAAACTTCTCAAAAGTACTTAACTTTAGAAAGAAACTGCGACGAAGACGTGTGTCATCCAAACCGGAGAGGATACGAAGGAAAGGGAAATCAGTGAATCATGTTAACCTTGGGATAGTAAGTTTAGAGTGTCTAATGGTGATTGAACGGATAACTTGTTGACGATTTTGCGCGAGGCAATCTTGAGGAATCAACGGCACCTGGTTATTTAGTCTGCAGCCGGTAAACTTTGGGCTGACTCGTCGTCGGTCGTGAGACCAATGTTTGGCGTCACGGTGGTATGCTTTTCGAGTAGGTCGTTTACTTTGCGTGATTTGAAGAACGAA